ACGGACTCCCCACAGGGGCAAGAAGTTCCAGCCACAGGACCACTGAGACCCCTGGATTTGCCCCCAGCTCCCACCTCAGGCTCTTGCTCAAGACAGACGTCCCCTACCACCACTGCATCCCCCTCTCTGGCCACCTTTCAGGCTGGGCTGAAATACGACCTGTCCCCATGCAGGCCAGGGAACTCCTCTTTCTGTCATCCCTCAATTCCCAGTCGGTGACTCTCAGGCTGCACCTCACGGTTGGGACTTGGGAGGGGGGCCTTGCCGTACTCCAGGCCTGATGCCATGAGCTGAAGGCCCTGGCTGCCATGATAGCCAGTGGCACGGTGCAGGAGCTCAAGCTGAGGCTAAAGTGAAAGATTGCCTTCCTGATGCTCCCGCCCACCTCTGTTAGCCACCCTCCAGTGCCCTCCAGGGAGGGAAAGCTGCCCATTACCAGGCCAGTCGCTGGCTGGGCCGAGCAGCAACGTCCATGTGGGTATCTGTTTTTCTTATTCTTGCCGTTTCCTGCTCTCTCGGGGTGCACAGGCCCAGGCAGGCCATGTCCGTGGGGCAGGCTGCCAATCACCTCCCTCCTCTTTCCTCCTGCTCACATAAGCAGCAGGGTGGCAGGTGGACCAGCCGCTGACATAGGCCTGCTTGTCCTCCCTCTTTCCCTAGGCCACCTTCTGTTGGCAGGCTGGGAGCCCTTCATGGGGGAGGTGTTGGGGGCATCCTCTGTTTTCAGGGTTTTGTTTCGTTTGTTTGTTTTGAGACAGAGTCTTGCTCTGTCGCCAGGCTGGAGTGCAGTGGTGCGATCTCAGCTCACTGCAACCTCCACCTCTTGGGTTCAAGTGATTCCTCTGCCTCAGCCTCCCAAGCAGCTGGGACTACAGGCGCCCGCCACCACACCTGGCTAATTATTTTTGTATTTTAGTAGAGACGGAGTTTCACCATGTTGGCCAGGATGGTCTCGATCTCCTGACCTCGTGATCTGCCTGCCTCGGCCTCACAAAGTGCTGGGGTTACAGGCGTGAGCCACCGCACCCGGCCAGAATTGGACCCAGTTCTATACTGAGGTCTCTTTTCCCTATTGTTTCTGTTTGTTTTTGAGATAGAATCTTGCTGTGTCGTCCAGGCTGGAGTGCAGTGGGGCAATCTTGGCTCACTGTAACCTCTGCCTCCTGGGTTCAAGCAATTCTCTTGCCTCAGCCTCCCAAGTAGCTGGGATTACAGGTGTCCGCCACCACACCCAGCTAATTTTTTAATTTGTAGTAGAGATGGGGTTTTGCCATGTTGGCCAGGCTGGTCTCCAACTCCTGACCTCAAGTGATCCACCCATCTCACCCTCCCAAAGTGTTGGGATTACAGGCATGAGCCACTGTACCCAGCCTGTTTTGAGTTTTTGATGAAGTGGGGTTGGGTTCCTTTGTCTGATGTTCCTTGTGTTTCCAGCCCACCGGGTGCCCCGTGGGGAGGCAGGCGATTGGCAGAACTTATTGTATCTCGAACCCCACCCATTGTGTCAAAAAGGGGCATCAGCCCAGGGGCCGTGGCTGGCACCTGTAATCCTAGCACTCTGGGAGGCTGAGGTGGGAGAATCGCTTGAGCCCAGGAATTCGACATCAGCCTGGACAACATGACAAGACCCCATCTCTACAAAAAAATAATAAAAATAAGCCAGGCATGGTGGTGTGTGCCTGTAGTCTGAGCTGCTCGGGAGGTTGAGATGGGAGGATCCCTCGAGCCCAGGAGTTGGAGGCTGCACTGAGCTATGATTGTACCTGCACTCCAACCTGGGGAACAGAGTGAGACCCTGTCTCAAGAAAAAAAAAAAGAAAAAAAAAGGCAGCCAAAGGTAACCACCACTCACCCCCTACAAACAGGTCCCTGTTGCTACCTGATGGGGGAGTGGCCCCAGCCCAGACTCCACTTGCCAGAATTACACCATGGGTCTCAGGGCAGGCTGCTGGGCAGCAGACCTCGACACACGAATTTCTGAGTGAGTGATGCATTAAGGCCATCATCCCGGAGGGTGCTGGAGTAAGAGAAGCGGGTCAAGGAAGGAGAGGAAGCCAAGTAGAGATGTAGCCTCCAGCAAAATCCTGTGAGGCCGGGCATGGTGGTTCACACCTCTAATCTCAGTTCTTTGGGAGGCCGAGGCGAGTGAATCACCTGAGGTCAGGAGTTCAAGACCAGCCTGGGCAACATGGTGAAACC